CCCCAAAACCCCAAAACCCCAAAACCCCATTAGTAAAATACCTATTTGAAACAATAAAAATGGGTTCAAAATGGCACATTTGCGTTCACAAATTTAGCTTATAATGATTATTACTAATCCATAGTTCTTTTAAACATGTTGTTGGCCACTCTTTGTTGGAATAAAAGTTTGCTGGCCCTCTTCTTCTGATTTACCCGTACAGGAGACTCACCTTGCTGAGGAATTCTAGAGGCTGAGTTAGAATTTAGGCATAAAAATCGGTGAATGAGACAAGATGATGAAATACTTACATTGGTTTCTTCCTGATGGCTTTAGAAAGCCTTATTGATCGAAGAGCTCCAGGAGAGCAAAATCCGGAAAACCTCGCTTGTTTGGCTCTTCTAACTTTCTGTTCGATATTTTCCATTAATCTTAATTGGTCCATATTAAAATTAACAATATTGTTATGGAAAGCAGTGGTGAACGAGCTATCTCTTGTCTTAAGAGCTAGACCAGGCCTTTGTAACACGATTGGAGACACCTGAGTTAGTCTCTTGTCAGGAAGCATACTCGGTCTCACCATAATACTCATACCAGGACTCCGAGTATATGTAGTATTAAAGTTAGGGACTCTCCTTCCCGAAAAATCTTTTGAGAGAGCTCTTCTAGCTATAAAGGACGGGGTAATAATTTTTATTTTGACAGATTGAGACTACTAAATTAAAGATTCCTCCAAATGACTTGAATTGAGTACCATGGTCGACAGTCTACGTGTCAACGGCTTAATAAAGTTGGCTGCTAAGAAGCTTCAGAATTTATTTATTTGAATAATATATGAGAATAGTGTAAGTCCATATAGCTATCAAACTAATCATCCAATGTTTTTACCTGCTGAGTTCCTATTTTCCCTATTTCTCTCGTGTGTGGCGCATCGGAAGGATGAGAAATTCCTGACTGCACGGATAGCAGTATTTCGAGTGCTGCTTTCGTTTGACACTACAATAATTAATCTAATCATAATTTACCATCCGAAGGTGCGAAATCTGGGCTAGCTTGCCTAATTCATAGTTTTCTTTGCCACCTAGTTTGTCTATAAAACACAGGTTAGTATTATTTCTCATAGCCAGATGGACCAAGCAGGTTGAGATAAGAATGCATTTTACATAAGCAGATATTTTTAAAGTAATGATATTTCCGTTCCTAATTTAATAAAAAATAGAGAATAAACCACCTTGAACACTAAATCAGCCTAGACTCTTTTCAAAAAGTTTGCAAAAGCTTTTGTAAGTGCAAGGGGGGTAAATTTCTGAAGGAAGAAAAATTAAGGTTTACTTGAAAGCAAACCTTAGAAATTTATATGAAATTCTGATGAAACCTCCTGCAACTCGACATATAAGTCCTGGCAAAACTCTTACAACTTGACATAAAAATCCTGATAGACCGTGAGGTTATGGTGAGGTAGGCTAACGGTTCTATTCATTCAGGAAACAGAAAAGGGAAGAACACTACCTCTAGTATAATACAGACCAAAGGTAAATTTAAGTGACTCAGATATCGAGAAATTATCATGGAGCTGAGTTGTTGTATCGAGCTTCATAAAAATTATACTGAGAAGCTCGTTAGCCTGATTTATTGTTAAAAGCAACTTTCAACTTTATTCTCACAAGATTGCTAGTCTATTAAAACTTTTGCCAAGGTAAAAATTTGAAGACTTATGAAATTTATAGATAAAATTTTTGAATAACCAACTTTTTCAAGAAACATGCAATCATTCTTCCTAACTGTACTAGATAAACATTGGAACACAGTAGACTACAAGATGCAAGTTCTCACTATGCCAAGCTAGCTGAGCCTGCCAAATAAGAGTGCTTGGGTGTTCTGGTATAGCTCAATAAAAGCTCAGGTATTTACGGCTTCTCTAAATCGCTAGGTATTACAATAGTGTACTTCTTGGTGAACTCCTCCTCTCAGGAGCCTCCTAAGCAAGAGTCTAAACCAGTATCTCTAGAGGACCCCTTGAGGATAAATGACATGAATTATTCCTGAATGCATACCTTTTAAGCGCCGTACGGAGGTAGGCCTGAATTGTCCTTCTTTGTTCTTGCATAAATCAATTTTTATTATCTAATTTACCCCTTTCAATATTTATAGCACCTATTGGGGTTTTGGGGTTTTGGGGTTTTGGGGTTTTGGGGTTTTGGGGTTTTGGGG